GTAAAGGTACAATTCCCAATGAGAAATGTAATTGTGTTGTATACCTACAATGTACCAATAAAAGAATTTAATACAAAAAAACCCCAAAAAAACAAAAAAACCAATAATCACCCCTTGGGATGTCATGCTGGGCAGTCCAGGTAAGATCAGGAGACGGTAGGAACGATGGCAAGTGCTTAAGCAGGATGGTTTACTTTATTTCAGTTTCTCTGGTACATAATTTCACCCCATCACCACCAAGGCCCCCCAGATAAATGTCATATTTGATACTCATCCCCTGGAGGGCTGTCTGGGCACGGTCACTATCTCAGAAGCTGTTCAGTGGCCCCAGGCAAAATGCAGGAAGTGGTTTCGGTGGGTCTGGCACATCTGTAACGAGCTAATTTTATGACAAGTGGGGAAGTTTCCACCCCAGATGACAGCAGCCTGAAACATGGAGGGCTGGAGAAGTGGGATGACCTGGAAATATTTGGTTCGAGCCCGTTTACTTTCCGTGGGCTGCTAAGTGACTACATTGTTGTCAGCCTGCAAGTGTGTTTTTATTATTTCACTTGAGTCGCCCCAAATGCCTTGACACATCACATGGCCGATCACGCAAGAATTCATGCTCAAATATTTCAGAAACCATCCTCGGTCTAAAGGTTAGACTCAGGATGTGGCTTCTGCCTTCAAGCCAGCTCCAGCCGCCACTTGCTTTACTGAATTTAAAAACCTTAATTTTACCTCTGTCAGAGCAATATGTATAATGCCCCTTACAAAGTGAGAAGTTTTACAGTGGAGCTGGGTGTGGCCGTACATGTCTGTCATCCTAGCACTCTGGAGGCTGAGGCAGGAGGATTGCCCCAAGCTCAAGACCAGTCTGGGCTATATAGTGAGTTCAAGGCCAGCCTAAACTATAAAGCCAGATGCTGTCTTTGAAAAACCAAAGGAGAGGGCCGGGGATTTAGCTCAGTGGTTCCGGTGCCTCCCTGGCAAACTCAAGGTCCCCAGTTCGATCCCTCGTACAAAAAAAAAAAAAAAAATCAAAGGAGAAAAAAGGCAAAAGGTTTACAATGGAAAGTCTTACAGTGGAAACAAAAGCCCCAGGAAACACAAACTTTCAGCTTTCTCCTGCCAGTTACCTCTATCTCAGGCAATATGTTTACACTATTTCTTGGTTTTTTCCATGACTGTTACACTAGGAAATTAGAATTTTCCTCTCTTATGCCCTCTGTACACTCAGCCCCCCCAGGCAGATGTATGATAAGTTGTGGTAAGATCAATATTCAACAGTCACTGTTTCATCTGTGTAAATGTTACTCCATGAGCTGTATTTATCTTCTTGTGCAACTGGGTTGCTGTATGTTAATAATTTTCCTGTGTTTGTTTTGTTTTGAGACAGGGTCTCACTATGTAGTCCTGGCTGGCCTTGAACTCATTATGCTGCTTAGGCTGGCCTTGAACCCTCCGAGATCCTCGTGCCTCGGCCTCCTGAGTGTTGGGATTGCAGGTGTGCACCACCATGTCCGGCCGTCTTGGTTTTCTAAGCATCTCTCTGCTTCATCACTGAGCGCCCATGAGTTGCTTCTCTACTGCTCCAACCCATGCGGTAAGCCAAGGCATTGGTTCTTTCCCTCATTATGTTCCCCTGGAGTTTTCCTGCTTTAATTACCTCCTTGGAACTTTAAATGGTTTCTTTCTTGCTGTGAAGGATCAGAATTTATTCCAGCGGTTGGTCAAGATAAAAACAAGGAGTTACTTTAAGCTGGTTTCAGTGGATACTGAGTATTCAAACGTGAAGACCAGCAGCTTCCTTTCTTCAACAAACCTTGACACCAGAAGCTAGGGCCACTCCAGGGAGGTCATGTGGGTAGGATGGACAGCAGGGGACCCTCAGCTGCCCTGGGGAGTGGGCAGATCTGAGTTTGAATCCTGATTCTGCCCACGTGTGACTTTGTGACCAATCACACAGAGCTGGGCCCTTGGTGAGGGCAGAGCGGGTCAGTGCCACCAGGAGCTGGCAGAGCAACAAGAGGGTTATTAGCTGCAACAGGAGGGGCACACCTGGCACGGTGTCCAGGTCTGTGCTTCCCAGAGGAAGCCGCTAGAAGGCTCAGGCATATTCATGCCGGGGGCAAGCACATTCCTGGCGCTGCTTCCAAGGCCACATTTAAAGATGAGGACAGGACACATGCAGGTGCAGGATTAGGGTTAAAATGAGATTCTAATGAGCAGAGTTTTCTCTGGGTCACCTACAAGAGGAGGCGGGTGACTTTGGCTGCTTTAAACTGGTTCTTTTCCCCAAGATGAGTGCAATCACTAGGTACTGCTGATGTGTACTAATAAAAATTGAAACCGTAATGAACTGGCTCTTTGTGATTTTCTCCAGAGGGCCTCATCTGAAGCCAAGAAACAAGTGAAAGGTTAGCAGTCATCTAAAAGGCGGAGTTTCCTCTCTGCTGGACCCTATGAGTTCCTGCCAGCAGCTACCTGCAGATGACACATTTATTTCTCTGTGAAACACAGACACACCTCATCCTTCCTAAGAGTTGTAGATGTCACATCAGAAGAGTCATTGGTGGTGCATGCCTGTAACTTCAGCACTCAGGAGGCTGAGGCAGGAGGATCACCGAAAGTTTGAGGCCAGCTTGGGCTACATAGGGAGACCCTGTCTCAAAACACAAAACAAACAACAAAAAGGAAGAGTTGTGAAAACACCTGGCACCTGGCAGACCCTTGAAGTGCTCCTGTCCCTCCAACCCCAACAGTTTAAATGGGAAGTCCCTCTTCACATAAAACCTAAGGGATTTCATACCTCAGGATTTGTGCCCTGGTTTGTTTGTTTAATTTTTGGGAACAGGGTCTCACCAAATAAGGCACTGAGACATGCATCCTATCATATTCAAATGTCACAACTGTCCCAGCTTGGCTTCCTGCCCAATGTAAATGATCGGGCACAACATCTTTTGATTGGCTGTGTCCACATGCAAATGAAAGATTGAAAAGAGAATCTTCTGATTGGTCCTGTGAACAGTACCAGATTCACATGAACGGTGGAAAACAGGGCGTTTCCGATTGGTCCAAAAGAGCACTTTTCTGATTGGTTCTGTGTACAGAGCTGGTGGTGTCACTGTATTGGGAAGGTCCCTCACCCTGTTGCTCTGTTTCAACAGGCTAAGTACAGGCTGGGCACACGGAGGAACTCAGGGCTCATTGCAGGGTCAGGATGGCCAGGACCCCACTGGATGCTGAAGGAGGAAGGAAGGAGACCAGGTGGCTGGATGTGGCAGCCTGGAAGGTCAGGAGGAGGTGCAGGCTTGGGTCACAGAGAAGTAGCCAGTGTTCTGATCTATGAGATCGGATGAGATCCCGGGAAGAGATGAAGACGAGAAGGGGGCTGGAGTGAGCCAGGCATCCCCAAGCTTTCAGGCCTACCCCAGAGTTTTTGTGCCTAAAGAAACGTACCCCGCTTGTGAGGGACTTGTATTTTTCTACATTGCTTGGAGCGACCAGCTAATGTTTTCGTTATCACTTCACGCCCAGGCCCCAGAGATTCAATGATGCTTTTTCTTTCCTTTAAGGGATGTCTTTGTCAGGTTAGTTTCAGGCTCAAGCTGGTCTCATAAAACGGGTTGACAAGGGCTTCCTCTTTTGCTGTTCTCTTAAAATAAGACAATTATTGTATCTTCCTTATATAAAATGTTGGAAAAGAGAGCTGAGTGTGGTTGTACATGTGTGTAATCTCAACAGTTGAAGGCTGAGGCAGGATTATCGTGAGTTCAAGGCCACCCAGGGCTACAGAGTGAGACTCTGTTTCAAAAAAATAAAAAAAAATGTGCTTGCTTTGGCAGTATATATACTGAAAAAAATAAACAAAAAAAGAACCGAAAGCCCCAAAACACTGACCAGTAGTCCATTGTACAGGTATAAATTGTCCACTCACCTGCTGTTGATGGGCAACCAAATTCGATTCAAAAACAAACATGTGCCAGGCTTGCTTGTAGTACAAGCTACTCAGAGGCTGAGAAGGGATTGTCTGAGCCAAGAGTTAGAGGCCAGCCTGAGCAACACACTCATACTTCCTTTCAAAAAGAGAGAGAAAAAGCTCCGGCCACTTCATGCTTAGACAGCCTCATAGGGATTAGTTGTATATGACTGTGGTTTGATTTTTGTTTTTTTGAGACAGGGCCTAAGTTATCCAGGCTGGCTTCAACCCCTGCCTCAGCCTCCCCCATAGCCTGGGTCTTTCTTGCAATGTGTGTGTGTGTGTGTGTGTCTGTGTGTGTCTGTGTTACATTGAACTCAGAGCCTTCACAGGAAGCAGCTTTTTATGTTTAATTTTTTTTTTTTTTTGAGACAGGGTGTTTCTAAGTCATAAGCCTGAGCTGGAACTTGGGATCCTCCTGCCTCAGCCTCCTAGAGCTGGGATTATAGACCTGCACTACCATGCTAAGCTTTTGGTGCCCTCCCCACCACCACCACCATGGGTCCAACTCAGGACCTTGCACTTGTGAGGTAGGTGCAGCACCACTGAGCTAAATCCCTGGCCCATCGGTGCATTTTCAAGATGAAAAAAAAAATTCTTTAGGGGCCGGGAAAGTCCTTGTTTGGATTCTCAGCATCACAAAAATTAATTTCTTCCAATGTCTCAAATGTTTTAGCAAGATAGCTGATCTAAATTCTTTTGTTGTTTCTGAAGTTCTATTTCGTGGCGTTGCTAAACTTTTTATTTCTAACAAATTCTGTGTGGATTTGGGGTTTGGCTATATTTTTCTAGGAATTTATTCATTTCCTTTATCAGTTAATATATTTACTCAGTGAATAACTTTTTAATATCAAATGTTGCTATACTTATATATTGACATTTCAACTTAATTTTGTAATTTATCCTTTACTTCTTTCTTGGTTACTATCTCTAAAGTCTAGTTAGATGTTTCATTAACTAATTTTGGGAAAAATTTTTTAAAATTTTTATTATCTTGTGTTTATTAATGCCTTATTCGATTACTCTTATTCCATCTTTTAAGATGGAGACTTTGAGCCAGGTATGGTGGCTCATGTCTGTAACCCCTGCACTCAGGAAGCTAAGGCAGGAAGATTGCTGTGAATTCAAGGATAGCCTGGTCTACATAGTGAGTTCAAGGCCAGCCTGAACTACATAGCAAGACCCTGTCTTAGAAAAGAAAATGGAGAGTTTGTACTGTAGCATTTTTGTTCACTCTTAATTTGTTTTTGTTTTTGTTGGGAGTGTGGGGTTCTGAAGATTCATTCCAGGGCCTGATGCATACGAGGCAAGCATTTACTGACAGGCCCTCTGTTTTTCAAATATTGTAAAGCATTTAAGCCCAACCATTGAACCTTGATCATCATTTTGTTCTAATTTTTTAAAAATTTACTCTAGGAGTTGGAGGTTGTAGCTCAGTGGTAGAGCATTTGCCACTCTACCCAGCACCAAAAGAATATATATTTTCCCATGAGTTACCAAGATGTGTGTTAAATTTCTACAATTTAGATTTTTTTCATTTATTTTTATTATCCTCTAAATAACTACTTGTGAATCCTTAAAGGAGTTTTGCCTGTTCTGGAAACTTGTATAAATTGATTCCTGTTTTTTAATGACTTCTTCCACACAGAATCATGAATGTGGAATTTCCCACATTATAGACTGAAATAATTCACTCCTTTATTGCTAAGTAGCATTTCATGGCAGGAATATTTACCACGATTTGTTTATCCATTGCCCATTAACAGACATTTGCTTTGTTTCCAGTGTTCAGCTATTGTTAATAAAATGACAATGAACATTTTCTCTTCCTTTCTTTTCTTTCTTTTCTTTCTTTCCTTCTTTCTTTCTTTCTTTCTTTCATTCATTTTAAAGGGGAAAAGGTTTATTTAGCTCACAATTATAGAGGTTTCAGTCCATAATTGACTGGCTGTAAGGTAGGGTGGCATGGCAGACAGGCATCACAGAGGAGAAAGTTCCTGGCAGGCAGAAGATAACAAAGCAACAAGGGATGGCTACAGATCTATCCCTTATATCTTTGGAACTTTTTTTCTTTTTGGTACTGGGGATCGAACTCGGGTCCTTACACTTGCACAGCAGGCTGCAAAATCATTGAGCTAAATCCCCAGCCCAATCCTTTATATCTTATCCAGGCTTCTTAGGGTGTGTAGCACTTACATTCTTCACTTGATCTTAGCCAAAAGGCTGAGAAGTGATAGCATTCACATTCTTAATCCTACTGCGCTTGATCCTAGCATTGCACCATGAATCAATTCCAGCATCACATACTATAGATTTAGCTAACTCTGTTTTTTTGTTTTGTTTTCTTTTCTTTTTTTAATTATTGGTACATTTTAGGTATACAATACAGTTACACTCATCACTGGGATCTTATACCTTTACATGATGCATCTTGGTTCTTATTTTTTCCCTATTTCCCTGCCCTCCCTTCACCTCCTCCACCCTTCCCTATTTACAGAGACTTTCCTTTTTGTTTCCCTTCTTTCCTTTCCCCTATCCTTCCCACTTCCCCTACTCCTTTTGACCTGTTATTCCTATTTCAAATTATCAATTATAGCATTTGAACATTATTTACACTTTTAGTTTTTCACACGAGAAACTATTCGGTATTTACACGTGTGTCCTATTTATTTCACTTAAGAGTATAGCCTCAGTGTGCATCCATTTAGCTATAAATGTCTCTAGTTTCTCATTGTTTATGGCTGAATGGTACTCCATTTTATAGAAAAACCACATCTTCATCGAGTCTCCAGTTGATGGGCACTTGGGCTGTTTCCAACTTTTAGCTATTACAAACTGTGCTGCTATAAACATGGGTGCACATATATCGCTGTGGTATGATTCTTTCAATTCTTTTGGGAAGATCCCCAGCAGGGAAATAGCTGGGTCAAAT